GAATTCAGAGCTTCAGCGGCCATGATCCCTCTGGCCGGCTTCTGCTTGTTCCTGTGGGTGTTCAGTGATCCTTGGTGTAGTGCCTAAGGCACTAGACTGTTAACCAGAAGGCTGGCAGTTCAAACCCACCAGCCACTCCTTGGAAGGAAGATTGGGCAATCTACTTCCACAGAGATACCACCTCAGAAACCCAAGGAGCTGGCTTTGAGTCAGAACTGACTCGACAGCAGTGAGGTTTTTTTTTTTTTTTTTTTTTTGGTGGCGGCGGGGAGCTTCTGTTAAGGATGATGGAAAAATCTGAAAAAGGATAGTGGTGATGATTGCATTTGATGAGCGTAATTAATATCACCAAACTGTACATTTAAAAAACATCAAAATGGCAAAAGTATCACATATATATATATATATTGCATAGTAAGATAAAACATGTCATAGGAAGGAAAAGAAGGAAGGGAAGATATCTCAGAAGTATATCTTTTAATAAGGTCTTGCAAACAGCACACTCAGCTGCTAACCAAAAGGTTGGCAGTTTGAGTCCATACAGAGACACCTCCAAGGAAAGGTCTGGCAATCTACCTCCCTTGAAAAATCTATGGAACACAATTCTTCTCTGATACATGTGGGGTCACCATGAGAAGCAATTAACTTGACAGTAACTGGTTACTGGTTATAAATTCAGCAACCTTAAAGAGTGAGATCTACAGTTCATAATTGTTTTTACCCCTCAAACTGTTTTACAAAACTTGAACAAACAGTAACACTTTCCCATGTTTAAATCATGCTTGTTTTTGTTCTGGTAAATTTGCCCATGCTGTCCTCTAAGTACTGTTAATACTACTTTAAAAGAGTGAGGTGGGGGAGGTGGTGAGAACAGTTACCTTCATGTGTATCAGGGAGGAACTGCTCTACACGGTTTGCAATGGTTGATTTTTTGGAAGTAAATCACCAGGTGTTTCTTCTGAGGCACCTCTGGGTGGACTCACACCTCCAACCCTTCAGCTGACTGCCAAATGTGTTCATTGTTTGCACCACCCAGGGACTCCTCTTAATGCACTATTCTCTAAATACTGTTCTTTGGGAAAAGACAGGCCCATTGCCAGCGACCACTCCATTGGTAGCCAATATATTTAATATATTTGACCTCTTTTGTCCTCAACAGTGGGTCTTTGCAGCATGTTTTGCTCCTACTGGCTCCTTCAACCTCTGTCTCCCAGAGACCAACTTTCCCAAAGCTCTCTCCTGATTGGCATTCTTTACTCTTATTTACACAGCTTCATTAGGAACTTCCTTTTTTTTTTTTTTACAACAGGAAGTGTTCAGCACACCCAGCTTTGAAATTCTTTCTTTATTAAAAACCTCTGTAGCCCAAGGACACCATTGTTAGGACTATTGAGTGAGTTCCTGAGTGATGGCCTTTTTTTTTTTTAACATCCTGGTTTTACATATCATCACCACTCTGCATTCCCTTTAACTCTAGGTCAACTCTGAAACATCTAAAAAAACTAAACCCACTGCCATTAAGTCGATTCCAGGTCACAGCGACCCCCATTTGGTAAATCTTTACGGAAGTAGATTGCCTTCCTTCTGCAGAGTGGCTGGTGGGTTTGAATCGCCAACCTTCTGGTTAGCAGTCAAATGCCTTAGGCACCACGCCACCAGCTCCTTCTCTGGAACACAGCAGGTACTTAATAAATATTTATTGAATTTCCATGAAAGTCATTTTTTAAATGATCTCAATTTTTGAATAGTTTTCTGCACCTAGACAGTGGGAATTTTACGTGAGTACCATACAACCATTTCATTCACAATGCTAGTGGTAGCATACTTCAGCTCTTTCTTGAAATGAAACTCTATTCCATACTTGTTTGACAGTATGGTGTATGTGTATGGGCCCCTGACTATTTGTCTTTTTGGAATTTGGCTAAACAAACTCAAGCCTGTGCTATTAATGATTTTAATTATTTCTCTATGATTAATTCCATCAGAAGTTTAAAGAGCATAAAAAGGCCAACTCAGCCATGTCATTCTCTACCTGCCTATTCACGTGCTCGTATTCATGTAAGGTACAACCCTATGCCAGCCATCAATAGACATTTGTCTTTTATATTTAATAAATGGCATTTTGGTGGGCAGCCTCAGCCTAGACAATGCACTTCCCAATATTGCTGTGTCAGTTGTAGGGGCAGAGGTGCAATGCCTTCTATCATAAAAGGTTAATTGTAGGACAACATTACCTCTCTGGATCCTGATCACACACCTCCAGATGCCCAGTCCCAAAACGATGGTGGTCAGAAGCACACACACAATGGCCATCAGCTCCCTGAGGTTACAGACACGACAGGAAACCATGATGAGGTAAAATCACAATCTATGCCTGTATGGAAAACAATTAGCTTCTTTTCTTCTTGTGCCAAGAGGTTTAATCAGAAATTATCCTAAAAAGTCAAAATAATTCCTCCTTTCAGTGATTAGGCAGATATCCTCATTTTGTAGGATTCTTGAGTTTTTATCAGGACGCAGTGTTGAATCACCTAATATGTGGTTTGCACTCTGCTTGCAATTTCCTTGTCCTTCACCAGATGAGACTATGAATAGAGTGACTAGAGTTGTGAGAAAAGAAAGATAACTCAGGGCAATAAAGAGGAAGGGGGAGCGAACAGCTAATAGGGTCAAAGGGTAAATGTTCAGACAAGCAAGAAAGTAAAGGAAGGGAACAAAAAGGAGAAAACCTGAGAAGAAAGCAGGAAGGGAATGAGCCTGATGGTCACACATGACTCAGGTTTCCTGTGCTGTTCTGTAGAGAAGGTCCAGCTGAGGAAGACCAGCAGGTACTCAGGCCATTTAAAAACTTCTTCTTAGGGAAGTGGGTTATCAATGAGACATTAAACAGTTTGCATCTCTTTAAGGACCCCTCATCTTGACAGCTGTAGTTGGTGACTTGGCATTACTGCCATGGAGTTCATTTTGAAAAGCACTGAAACCAAATATTATAACCCTTCTGAGTAGCAGCAGTTGCAGCTTGGACCTTCTCCCATCTTCTTCCCTCACTCTCTCATCCTCAACTAAAAGAAGGAATGAATATTCACCTCTACAGTCATACTTCTGTTCCTGGTAGAGAGAACAGATGCTGTGCTCTACACTGAATCCTCTCTTGATTCATCAAACTCATACTCGATGCCTTTGATGTGTCAGGATTGTTACAAGTAACAATGATGTCCTCAAAACACTCACATTCTCTCAGGGATGAGATATCTATAAACTGAAAACCAATAAACGATAAACTCACTGCCATCAAGTCAATTCCAACTCATAGGCATCCCCATTCAGTTACTAAGGCTGTGAATCATTACAGAAGTAGATTGCCTCCTCTTTGTCCTGTGGAGCAGCTGGTGAGTTTGAACCCCCAGCCTTCTGGTTAGCAACAAAATGCCTTGCCCACTATGCTACCAGAGCTCCCTATAAGAGACGTTGTTGTTGTTGTTGTTGTTGTGTGCCGTGGAGTCGGATCCAACTCATAGTGACCCCTCCTTGGGTTTCCAAGGCAGTATCACAACGGAAGTAGCTTGCCCCATCTTCCTTCCGAGGAGTGGGTATAGTAACTGTTTCATGAAGGATAATCAAATTTAATTACTACAGAGCAGTTATGCATTAATTCCTCCAGAGAGTACTAAGAAAGGTCTTACCAAAGAAAGATTTCACACTTAACACCTTTTAAAATAGCTGTCAAAAAACTATGTATTTTTTCCCAATACTCTGTAGTACTCACTCCATGAAAGTAGAGGTTTTGGGGGTCATGAGCATAGGCTGTGACCTTTACTCCACCTGAGGTTTCAGAAAAATACAATATTGTACCACAAAATGGGAGAAGTAGAAGTAAAGTTACAGAAGTGAGACAGGTAGGGTTGGCTGAATCAAGCAACCTCTGACTCAGTATTCTTGGAATAGTTACGTGGCAGACCACCAAATTGCTGCTGGAGACAGAGAACTGTTTGGAATTAACAAGCCACACCCTTAGGCAAGATAAGAAGTTAATTTCAAAAGCCCCACAACCTTGACCATTGTAAAATGCTGATAAACCTCCTGAGTTATACTTCAAATACCTTACCAGGTGCAGAGCAAGCTCAGTAAAATTCAACTTAAGCAACAACTGACCTTCCACCAGAGGCAGTCAAGAACAGAAATCCATTGCCTGGACTTGAACCGATGTCCAGAGACATCAGGCATGTGCAACATCCCAGAATCCTTCCAGCAGCCTTCACGTTGGGTTCCATCTTTCTTCCAACAGCCTTGGCTGCTTTCTGTGAGCACACTTGATTTTCATAACCCCACCCTCTTCCCAGAAATCCCCACCCATTTTATTCCAACCAGCTTAAAACCCTTTAAAAACCTTAGGAAATCCTTCATTCAATGAGAGACTAGAAGCTAGTGTTAAGTTGAAACCCTGCCACCTTCTCTCCTTCGTGAGTCCAACCCCTTTCCCTTCTCTTTAATAAACTTTGGTTCATGCAGACATTTTGCCTCTCCTGTTCAATTCTTTGTCAGTAGAAGGCAAGGACCCCTGCTAAGGGTCTCAGGAACCCTGGTAACAGAAGCAAAGAATGAATGTGTTCACTAAATGGGAATTTATTACCTCATTGACTCTGATATGTATGCATGTAAATGCACAGAAAATGCCCGAAAGGATACATACAAAACTCTTCTTGGGGGAAATGAAGAGGGAGAAACTCACTTTTCACCTTATGTGCCTTTTGAAATGTGAATGTTTCACTTTTGCATGTTATATTTAATTACAATAATAAAATATATATATTACTTTTTCAATAATAAAAATAAAAATTTTTAATAATTATAAGTCTAAGAAAAAGAATTAGCACTTATCAAACACCTAGAATACACTAAGCACTATGCTACGTACTTTACATCTCTTTATCTCATTTATTTCTGACAATAGCTCCATGTAACAGAACATATTTTGCCCATTGCATGAATGAGGAAATGACAATACAGTGGGTATTACTTTTAAAAGGAGTTCTGTGGTTAAGTAAATTGTGGCAATGCTAGGTTAATCAAAATAATTTTATTTACTCTCAAAAATACAAAAATCACACTCACTGCCCTCAGGTCAATTCTGACTCACAATGACCCCCATTGGATTTCCAAGGCAGGAAATGCTAGGTAAGCAGCTGCCTCATTTTTCTTCTGCAGAGCAGCTGGTGGGTTTGAACTACTGATTGGCAAACAAATGCCTTAACCACTATACCAGCAGAGCTCCTTTTTTGCTTTACTCTAGGATTTCTTGAAAGCTTTTAATATGTTCATGTGCATTGCGAAGTGCCAGGCCTGTATCCCTATTTGACCATGGAAGCTTTTTCTAAGACTAATCCCTCAGAGTTGGTATTCCTAAGAATATTCTTTGGAAATATTGCTCTGAATAATCATCCATAGCACGGTCTTAGCTGAACATTATATGACTAAAGAAATTGGTCATGGGTGATAGAGCCTGGTGAGACCCTTGAGACTATGGGCCCCAATTACCCTTCAGGTCTGGAACTGAACTCACTCTTATGGCTTACAGATAAACAATAGACAGCCATATGTTGTTGTTGTTGTTGTTAAGTGCCGTCGAGTCATTTCCGACTC